ATTTTAAATGAGCATAAATCCTGGTAGTTTGACTCAGAACAGATAGTTTAGGTTACCCTGGATGTACTTAAAGAATATAGTAACATTTAATAGTTTTATTAGAATTATAACCTGGAGGTTTTTGTTTTAGAGTAATGAACTTTTAATACTGTTTGCTCTCAAACTTGCCTATTCTCTTTGAATTAATTGCTAATGAAGAAAACATATAGAGCAAGTGACTGGATGACTGTTTTATAGAAATAACTTAAATCATGACTTTATTTTTAATAGTAAAGTATCCATCCTCAAACTTTACTTATTAGTAGCAATGAATTGGCTGTGCCTTTCGGTTGATCTTAACTCCTTGGGCATATAACTGGTTCATGAGGAAAGGAGCCCAGTTAGGAGGGAAAAAATAATGAGTGCTGGCTCTAAGGTACTTGGAGTGAGGATGGTGGAAGTGTGAGAGGGCATTTAGAACACTTAACTGAGGACGGGTAAACATCAGAGGACCCCTTATCACCATTCTGCTGTGGAGCATTGCTGGTCTCCAGTATTCTTATCTTGGTCATCACGGGCTCTTTCAGCCAGACTTCTGGATTCCAGATTCTTCCCCTTCTTCATTCTGGATTCTTTCAGCCTCAGTACATTCTGCATAGAGTTTGCATATTGTAAATGTAGAAATATTTAAATCTGTTCATTGCTATAAAACTTTGTGGGAAAGTGGAATAAGACAAAAGAAAGTGCTATGCTTTTTATGTAGAGTGATTTATTTACTTATTGTTCTGGGTGTTGAACTCAGTCAGGGCTTCACACTTGCTAGGCAGGTGCTCTACTGCTTGAGTCATGCCTCCAGCCATTTTTGCTCTGGTTATTTTTGAGATAAAGTCTCAGTTTTGACCCTTTTTGCCCAGGTGGGCCTGAACCGAGATCCTCCTGTTTACGCTTCCTTCAGTGGCTGGGATGGCAGGAACATACTATGTCGTCCAGCTTTGAGACTGGGTCTCGAGAACTTTTTGTTCAGGGTTGACTTCGAACCTCAGTCCTCCTGATAGCCTCCTGAGTAGCTAGGATTATAGGTGTGAACCACTGGCACGGTGCTTGTAGAATGTTTTAAAAATAATTTCCAGTCTTTTCCATGAATTATTTTTTTACTTGCTTAGCTTAGACTAATTGCGGCATCCACATCTGAGCGATTCATGAGATACACAACATACATTTAATATATTTTATTTTTGTTCACATGCATTGAATTGGAAAGCTGAGCATGCTTTGTCCCCACCTTTCATTAAGTAGCACATTGCTTTAATCTTGTGTGCTAAATTGATCAGCCCATAACAGCGCCTTTTCCTGCAGGTTCCACACAAGATGGCATATAACAGTGCAGAGGAACAAAGCGTCCCCCACCCTTCCTAGCCAGTGAGATATGGTAGTAGGTTCCACGAGGGGGAATGGTGAGGAGTGGTTGAATTCTGGATTGGATTTTAAAATTTGGAATAAAACACATTTGCACACTAGATACATAAGTTTTTTTCATACAACTTCTTGGTGTTCATTGGTCCCAGAATCATCAACCACATTATTTTCCAGTTTCAAACCTGAGATATTTTTAAAACTACATATTATAATTTTGATAAAAATTAATTTACAAATAGATGCATATATATGGTAAAAAGCGAAAAACGAAGTTACTGAAGGATGATAAACGCTAGCTCTCCCCCTCCACTTCTACTTGGCAGTGGTAATGTCCTGCAGCTCTTAGTTGTTGCCTTGGCATTTTCTTTCACAGAGCTCAATATGCCCTTTTGCTGCTTTTCGTGTTTTCAAATTCATCAGCCTTCTGTGCCGAGAGCTGTGTTGCACCTTTTCCTATTCCCTCCTTGGTTCAGTCCTTTCTGTGCTGTTATAACACAGTTGTTTTTTGTTAAATCAGTAGTGCTTACTTATCTCACTGTGACAATATAAATTTTGTTCAGGCTAAGTTGTGTATTATGTTGATCTTTTCTTTCTCCAAAATGTTTCCTCCACCCTGGAGCCAGTAATTTGTTCTGGAAGTTGATGAAGTCTTCCTTGTCTGTAGTATTTTAAAAGATTGCAAGAGTGCATTTTGGTTGGAGTCTTTTTTGTTTTTTTGCAACCAGTGTGCTTATTAAACCTGCGCTTCAAGATTGAGTTTGTGTTCTTCAGAGAATAAGGCTTCTGCTCTGGAGTATGGTTCTACCAGATTGTGTGTGTGCAAAATCCTCATGGCTGTGCTGTCTGTCAGTTGGTCCTGTTACTAGTTGCACCGGCCACATCACTGTTCAGGGAGAACTTGGTGCCCTTATCTCTTAACTTCTCAGGGAGTTTTTAGGCAAAATTGTGCTGCTTTTCAGCATTCTCTCTGCAGGCCTTTCTTGTTAGCTCAGTTTGACCCTTCCCATTTGCCTCATTGGCTAAAGCTTGTGTCTGCTGATTTTGCTGATGCTCTCTGACCTTGTGGCATATTTCTTGAGACTGTAAGATATTTGGCATGACGAGGAAAGAAATCTAATGTAGTTAATTCTCTTTTCAAAGTACTCCGTTTCTATACAGTTAAGGTCCATATTTTGTGTTTTACTAGTGGAAGTAAATATTATAAGTGAATGTTTCATATAAGATATATTCATCTCTAGGTAGTTCATGTATTAGCAATTCCTACTAGTTTTCAGTTTTTTAATTCAGATTTATGAAGATATTTACTTAGAATAAGATCTACCCATTAAGTGTGCAGTTCACTGGATTTTGACAGATGGATAAGGTCCTTCAGTCACTACTGTAGGCAAGACATAAGGTTGTTACTTCATGATCCCCTTCTGCCTTTTATGCCTCTTGCACTCAGTTCCTGCTCCCTCCGCCCCACCTTCCCTTTGGTGACCACAGGTCTCATTGCTGCTCCTCTAGTTTTGCTTGTTTCCAGAATATCATGAAAAATGAAAATGTCCTACAACTAAAGCCTTTTGTGCCAGGCTTTCTTCAAGTAGCAGGATGCTTTGAGGTTCATTCAGGTTATTGCTTTTAGCTGTAGACTGGCATTTCATTGTATAGGTGTATTGTGACTTATGTCTTTCATCACCTGATGGACATTTAAGTGTTTCCAAACGTCTTTAGCCACCAGAAATCTGCTAAATTCATGGATGGGTCTTTGTGTGGGTAGATTTGTTTATTTCCTGAGTCAGCACCTGGAATGAGATTATAGGGTTGCATGGCAGCTACATGTTAAACTGCAGGAAGTCAGCTTTGTGTTTTCTAACATGGTGTTCCATTTTGCATTGCTGTCAGCAGTGTGGGAGATTTCTGGTTGCTTTCAACAGCACTTCCTGTTGTCACTTTCATTTTAGCCATTAGTAGCCTTATATCTCATGGATTTACTCTGCGTTTCCCAGGTAACAATGCTTGGGAAATCTTACATATTTACTTGCATCCATGTATCATTGGTGGGTTAAATTTTTTTTTATTGAGTTACACAGTTATTAGTGTGTCTGAATACATGCACTTTGTTAGGTATATGATTTGCAAATATTTTCTCTTAGTCCAGGACTTGTCTTTCCATTTTCTTAATTTCTGTCAAAGAATGGAAAATTTTAATTTTGGCTAAATCCTTTCTTGATTTTTTTTCTTCTATGATTCATGAATGCTTTTTTTTGTTTTCAATTTGAAAAACTTAATCCAAATTCAAAAAGATTTTTCTCCAAATACTATCATCTTAGAAGTTTCGAGTTTTTACATTTAAGTTTCTGATCGATTTTGAGTTAATTTTTTAGATATGGTGTGTGTGATGTCAGGTGTTTCTGTTTTATATACTGAAGTTCTCTTTTTCAAATGCTTTTGTTGCATATTTTCACTCTTACATTCGTTGCACGCAGTCTTTTTCTATTTCATCTTCTGCATGTACTGTTACACCAATATGAAATGTGCTGATTTTTGATGCCATGGTGAGGATTGAACCACGGTCTCACACATGCTAGGCAAAGGCTCTATCATTGGTCCACATCCCCCGTCCTCCAATATTCTTTATTTAATGATTTCTTCAAGTTTTATTTCGAATGGTATTAGTGTTGATATGCCTGCTTTCCTTTTATTAAATGTTTTATATCTAGGTGTCTTTTTAAATTCTGGAGGTAGATTTGTTTATATATTCCAGTGGTGGGCTGTGTTTCTTTTTTTTTCTTACAGTGCCCACTTTGGAGATCCATGCTCACCCCCAAGCTCTCCTGAGTTGTCATCCTTGTTGCTTAGAAGTAGTTTTCAGGGATTCACTGGGCCAGAAGGATGATCTAAGAGAGGGTTGTAATCACTCAGCTTGTTGTTCACATGCCTTTTTAACAGTGTCAATAAAATCATTTGCTGAGAGCTTTTATTTTGTTGTTACCTGATGATCATTTTTTATTTAAAATAGATTTTAAAAAAAACTTAAGTCTACCTCTCATGCACAGATTTCCATATGTGGCTGTAACAGACACTGATTGTAAAACTTACCTGGTAGATTTTTTTGCAGGTGAAATCCTTCTGAATAATTAAAATGAGAACTCTGTATGGTTAGCCATCAGTGATTTATTTGTTTGATTGCTCAGAAGGCCATTTCTTGACTTTAAAAGAACTAGAGTTTTAAGAGTTTGAAAGATAGGATATATTTCAAATAATGGTGTAGGATTCAGAAGAGCTACAAGTCATACAAGGGCAGTGAGCACTAAATGAACCCTTAGAGTGATACTTAGAGCTCTGATGGACTTTCCAGTAATTTTAGTGTCAGTACGTGCCAGTTGAAATAATTCAGCTAATTTTTCTTGCTGGATAGGTATTACGCTTTAGTTCTTTTTTGAAGCTAAAGGCATTTATGGGCAATCAGGTGAATGAAACTTGAAAAAATGAGTCTTCTAAAATCGTTACAAATTTTAAATGTTAGTAAGCCAGCAAAGCTCCACATGGCCTGCTTGCATTGCAGCTCTGGACACGAGTCCTGACTCCCTTGGGTAGGTAAGTTTTGTTCTCAATTTTTGTAGATGTGGTGGTACAGTGGGAGCCATCCTGACATGTCCACTGGAAGTTGTGAAAACACGACTGCAGTCATCCTCCGTGACGCTTTATATCTCTGAAGTTCAGCTGAGCACCATGGCTGGAGCCAGTGTCAACCGAGTAGTGTCTCCTGGACCCCTCCATTGCCTAAAGTGAGCACAAAGCATTCTGGTTTTTTTTAAGTTTGCTTACCTCAGTGATTCTTGCTTGTTTTATTTGTTCTGCCACACTTTAAAAGATTCCTTACAAACTTAGTGATAGAAGTCACTCTGGATTTTATGCATTAGGAATGATAATCCCTAATGGATACAACAGTTAGAAGGATAATATAAAATGTACTACTTCCAAATTGTGTATATTCAGAGTATTTTTCTGCATTTATCCAGTGGGTTTCTTTCCTGAAGCTGTTGTAGGTACTTTGTTTTGGATTATTAACTCAGTTATTTTTGAGTGAAGTAGGTAGTTTGAAATGCTAATTTTTTTGTGTCTTTAATTTTCCAACTACTTAACACAAGGAACCACATCTAATTAATAACAGTCTGTGATTTTTATATGACCTAAACATCACTGAAACGTAAAACAAAGTTCTGTTAAAATACTACTCAGTGCGTGTTTGACATTTTCTGATGGCTTGAAAAATATTTGCTTTTACATTCATTATGTTACATTTTCAAAACTATTACGATCAGTGTTTACATGTTTAGACTTTTGTATAGAATTGAATGCCTGTGTGTCTGCTTTATCAGCTTACTTGCAAGTGAATCTGTTTGCACTTAGTGCAGTAGTGTTTATTTTGTAGTAGCAGATAAACTCATCCACTTTGTTTACCTTCGCTACCGAACGATTTCATCACACTCAGCTTTTTCAAACTTGGTTACCTAAGTAACTGAATAGGTAGAACAAAATTGTAGACAGTTTTGAGTTAAAATGTCATAGTTACAAGTACTTCCATCTGATTAATAATAGGAAATGTATATTAATATATTGACATTTACTACCACTGATTACATGTGCTTAAAATTCTTCCTTTTACCTGTGATATATTTTCTTGCTCCGTTTTTCAGTAGTTTTGCTTTCTTTCCTCACAAGAACTTTGATAATCTCTCTCAACTCTCTTACTTCCTCTGTTTTTCAGGCCCTCTTTTAAACTCTTTATATATTGATAATGGTTAACCCTCAGAGTACCCGATAAGAGCTGGTTTTCCTTATTTACTCCTGAAAGTAGGATGCCTGAAAAGTTACATTGTCTTACAGTCAGTTACTAACATTGGACATTTGGCCCCTCAGCTCAGGCCTTTAATTAACTACTATGCTTTTTAACCATATTAAACTTCCTTCTAAGAGCTCGTTCTTAAGCATGTAGATGTTTGAGAAGCACTTGACCTGCCTTCTGTAGTCTGTTAACTGTTCTGATTTTTTCCCTCAGTTCATATAATTTATTGCAGTTAGCACACAGTTGAAAGTTCACCAACACACCAGTAGTACAAATCTAAGCAGCATTATAAGTTATTCCCCCCCTCAGGAAAATAAAATACGCTATGATTGTCAAAGGTAGACTTCAGTCTGAGTTTTAGAACAAAGGAAGAATGTGAAACTAAGTAAAGGGAAAAGCAGTCACTTACAATGACCACAAAAAGAAAACCAAAAGAAAGTCTGTTTTGTCACAGACATTGTCTTCTCTGTTAACTCTTAATTAAAACACTTCCCAAAAAATAAATAAATAAAAAATAAAACATTTCCCTTCTCCAGTGCTGCTGCTGAACTCTAGGACATCGTTGAATTACTCTCAGAAAGCCTTCTGTACTGGGCGCTAGTAGCTCACGCCTGTAATCGTAGTTACTCAGGAGTCAGAGATCAGGAGGATTGAGGTTCACAGCCAGCCTGGGCAAATAGTTTGTGACACCCTATCTCAAAACCCATCACAAAGAAAGGGCTGGTGAAGTGTCTCCTCAAGGTGTAAGCCCTGAGTTCAAACTCCAGTACCACAAAACAAAAAAGGAAAGAAAGAAAGCACACCTCTGTCTCTGCTGGGAATATTGTATCTAGCTTGTACAGTATTTGCTTGTTAATAAGGTTTATTAAATTACCTGTTTCAGTATAATTCTGTTTATCACTCCTGGACAGCTAATTTCTCCTTTTTATCTATTTACTCTCTGCCTAGTTCTAAAGAGATCTTTATATAGGAAGCACTCCATATACCAAACATTCACTGAGTAGAGGAAGAAATGATAACCAACCATTCTAGTACCTGAAAGGATGTAAGGGTGATAGATTTTTGAGTAGCATTTCACCAGAATGGTTGGATGGTGAAATACTGCAATACTGAGTGTGTCCAGTATTGAATAAAGACCTTAAGAGCCGGGACATGACTCTGGCAGAGTGTCTGCTTAGCATGCACAAGGCCCTGGACTCCATCTCCAATACTGCCAAAAAAACCACCTTAAAACTAAAAAAGAATTACATTTCTAATTGGAGAATTGATTTTGCTGGTAAAGATAATAAAATTAAGAGAATTGGAAGCAGTGGGACCCACTGATCATAGACTGAAAAATCTCCCAAACTGTGAGCCAAAAAAACATTTCTCTTTATAAAACAGAAACAAAGTCAGTGTCAGAATCTATATACTTTGCATCCTTAATCTTTTAGGAAAAAATCCAAACAGAGTTTTATTATCACTGATGAATCTATTACCAGTCTCAGTTGTGCTATGTCATGGAAGAAACAGATTTTTAAAGCTGGGTGTTCTGATACATGACTGTAATCTCAGCATGCAGGAGCCCTAGGCAGGAGGATCATGAGTTCAAGGCCAACTTGTGCTACATAGTATGACCCAGTCTAAAAAAACAAACAAAAGAGGTATTTGTAAGGGAAACTGACCAGAAAAGTCTAACATGATATGGTTACAAACACAGGATTTAGGCTTTGACTTTGCTATACAAAGTTAATAAAGCACTCGACTTTGAAGAGAATTTATAATGTAATTTTTTTTTCCCCCTTTTAGGCTGATCTTGGAAAAAGAAGGACCTCGTTCCTTGTTTAGAGGATTAGGCCCCAATTTAGTGGGGGTGGCCCCTTCCAGGTAAAAAAAAAAATAATAAGTAAAATTATGGGAATCTACCTTGTTTCAAGGATCTGCGTTTAATCATCCTCTATACAGCTAAATTTATAAATGTGGTTTTCATTGTGTATGTAAAGTTAGAATATTTGATTTTCTTTAAGGGTTTCAGATGCTAACCAGAACAAACTTACGAAGTAATGCTTGTTAACGGAAATGGTAGTGGGTGATTAGAAGACTAACAGAATTTCATTAGTGTTAGACATGAACGATTGTAAATGTGAATGCAAAGCAGTGTTCCATGAGGTAAAGGACCAGGTATAGTATTTGCATTAAATTATTGATAGTCTTATACTGGGGAAAAATAGAGCCTAAGATAGCTAGATGTTTAAGAAGCACTTTTATAGATAAGAGTTAAATTTTAAATTTCTGTGGATGGACCCACGGTTTTGGGGGCAACATTGTATTCAAAATTGAAAAGAGTAAATATAACATGTTGTATTTTATATTGGGTTGAATAGGAGCTATTAATATAGTAATATTTGCAAATAAACCTGTAAACCCCTTACAGAGATCTCCTGAGAGATGCTTGTAGTCTTCTGACTTTAGGAATTAGAGGCATTTTGGTGTTTCTGGGAGGGATTGAATATCTACACGGGGCTAAGGTATTAAACTATTGATACTTTGAGGTAAGTGGTAGTTCTTGTGAGCTTAACTATTCTAGCTGTCATATCTTCAAAACTTCTGTCTTAAAGAAAAATAAGCATTTTTTTAAAGCAAGTGTTTTCCATGGGCCTTGAAGGCAAAATATGTTGTATCTCTTAAGTCTTCCTGTGTTTGACAGCTGCTGTTCTGTACTCTACCTAAAGTTAATGCTCCTTTCTGACTCTCCATACAGGAATTAAACTGCAAAGAAACAAGCTGGAGAACTAGAATCAAAGAGCCAGGAAGGGCAATAGGGCTTAGGATAGGGCAAATAAAGAAACAAAGTCTACAAACACGAACATTTGTGCGGCACTGAATCACTACCAGAGATGCTCCTCAGTACCTACCATAATAAGAGAGGTCAATGAGGGGAGGTGCTGAAGAGAACAAGGTGGGAAGGTATCCATGCGGTGTAACAGTAACCATAGATAAGGATGAGCCGACTACAGTATGGAGGTGCATAGGACCTCCCAGTGAGATGATTGTGAGGCAGTTTTTGCACCAAGTTCAAAAGGCAAAAACAAGGGATCTAATAGCTAAAGGAACTTGGCAGTAAGCAAAAAGGGCCAGAACTCTAAAACTAAGCCATCATTTGGCTTTGCGGAAAAGCCAAACAGATAGACTAGGTAAAGAGGCCAAAATGACCCAAAGATACTACTTTGTTATTTTTCTGATACTGTTTTATCTTAGGTTGTTGACTTCTTCCATAATAGAAAACTGTACAGAGTTCACATTTAGAGTGAACATAGATACCCAGCTTTCTGTATCCAAAGCATGTACCAGATTCACATCTTGTTCCTAAGTCTCAGCTTTTTATAGACTGTTTTCTCTTTTTAAAAAAAATTATCCAAAGCCAGGAGTGGTGGTGTACACCTGTAATTGTACTACGCAGAAGTCTGTGGCAGGAGTATCTCAATTTCTAGGCTAGCTTAGACTACATACCTAGACCTTGTCTCAAAACAAACAACAACCACCCCACTGTTTTGCATCCTCATTGTAAAAGTTTGTAAAATGTACAAGTTTGACTTCACTTTACACATGTTGCCCTTCACAGTGTGCCCATGCACCTTTCCACACACATTCATTCGCCTCCTTTGTTTAGCTACCATTAATAAATACTTGGGTGTGTGGCCTCTCTGTGATTTTTCTGAGTCCTCATATACACAAAAGCATAGCATACTTATATTATTGTTTACATAAATTATGCTAAAAAACTTACTTGTCTTGAAGCGCTTTCCATGATATGTGGGGTATTTTTTTAGCTGTGTAGTATGATATCTGTCATTAACAAGCATTTCCTATTTATACACATTCAGATTATTTTCAGAGTTTAACTATTAAAAACAGTGGTTTTTGTCAACAAACTTAAACCTAATTTTGAATGCTGAGGAAATAAATTATCTTAGGATAACTATCCTAAAGTAGGATTTCTGAATAAAAGGGGATATACACATTTAAAACAAGAGATTACTTACTCATTTCTAAAAAGGCACTCCACATTTTCATTCTCATGCAGTTTGTGCTTGCTTCTCACCCTCATCCTTACCAATGCTGGCTACTATCCATCTTAACACTTGCCAAGTGGGCTAAAATGTTTTTATTTTCCCATTCAAAAAATATATTTAATTGTTGATGCAATCCTACCCTTTCTTAAAATTTGACATTTTACATCTCTTCTATGAACTGCCTATATATATTTTCTCATTAGGATTTTTTTTCTTACTCATTTCTAGGAATGCATTATTTATTCTTCATCATAGTTGGCATCAAGTATATCCTGGTTTTTTTTCTCATAAAGTAGAATGTTACATTTTAAATTGCTAATCTCTTTTTCTTAAGCACATTATAAAAGGCATAATAGTGAAACTTCCCATCAGCTCTTGTTGTCTCCTCTGTCCATTATTGGACAGGTAATCCGGATTGTGAGAGGTAACAAGATATGTCACACGGCCTGGAAAGCTAAATGGTGAGGAGTATGTGGATGCATGATGTCATAGTACATTAACAGGGAACAAGAGTTAACGGGTGCAGTGAAATTTTCACAGACATTACAAAACACACCTGACCCGGACAGGCCTGATTACTTCTGTTGAAGTTGTGTCTGTTGAATAGTGTGAGGCTGGAGGTATAGTACAGTGGTGGAGTGTATGCCTGGCATGCATGAAGCCCTGAGTTCAATCCCTAGCACCAAAAAAGAAGGGAAAAAGGAGAGATTACTGTGAACTGCTTTGTGTACAGTGCATATATCAAAATTGTTTAGCGTATACTTTAAGTAGATCAGCTCTACCCTCATCTCCTCCCCAGAATTGAGTATTTAAGGGCTCCTATATGACTTTGCTAAACTCACTTAGATGTATTTCCTTTAATCGTAGCATTGCACAAGCCTCACAGCCTTGTTCATTCATGGGGCTTCCAGTCATGGAATCTTGTGCAATTTTTTGTTTCAGTTACTTGGTTGCTAAGCAGCTATCAGTGTATTGGGCAGAGCTTTATTTGAGAATGGATGCTCGGAACTTTATCTTTGTGTTGTCTTTTTCTTAATGCATTGATAGAAAAAGCACTTCAGGGTATTTGTAGCTAAGACTTTCTGTGTTTTAATTTCTCCATTCTAAAATTAAAAAGATGAATTTATATTTTATGAATTAAGTAGGTATGCTTATTGATAAATTTAAATCTTTATTTTAGAGCAATATACTTTGCTGCTTATTCAAACTGCAAGGAAAAGTTGAATGCTGTGTTTGATCCTGATTCCACCCAGGTACACATGATCTCAGCTGCAATGGCAGGTATGAGTGTGTGATGCTAAAATGCTGTCTGGCACCTAGGTTAATTCTGAACTAGGATAAGCTTACATTTGAATAAAACCAATTTGTCTAGGTAGATGTAAAATCTGTTGTCAGTTGGCATTTTTGTAATTAAGAATTTAAGTGATACAGTTAATATAATATTTATATTGCCCGATATAGTCCACTGGATATTTAGTAATTACACTATAAGTGACAGAGCTGTAATTTACTCTTTTCTCCTCAGTTTCTGTTAGTGCCTTTCTCCTTTTTGCTGCATGTTTTGGCTTCTGTCTGAAATGTGCCGGCAGTTCTTGGTAAAGTATTTATTTTGTTCCCTGCTCAAATGCTGAAATACTTGTGAGTGATACATTATTGATAATTCAATCAGTTATTGTAATAGTTGTATTTTAAAAATATGTTTATCATTCCACATAAATCAGACTAGATAGCACCTGAAATTCAGACACTGGCTTTGTGTACATGCTTGCTCTAGAAATGCTTCCAGGAACTCTTCTGTTGTCACTAGTGACTTAATGTGATTCTGTAATAAAATAACTTGTCCCAGGTCACTGCACTACTCAGAGATAAACCATGGGAGAGTGGGTTGACCAGTTTGGTTCTGGAATCATTTGCTGCCATGCATGTTAGACAAAGCCATGAACTTTGCTTCTCAGCAGGAAATTTGCTCCAGCTTTCTGAGATTAGCATTTATTTAACCATGTCTCACATTTCCAAATAATGCTAAAGAAAACTATTGCTGCTTTCATCAGCTGTAGTTTCAATAAACTGAATGTCAATTATGTCTTAATGAGTGCCTTAAGCTGTTAACCATATTTTGTTCAGAAATATTGGATCAATTTGAACCATACACTTAGCCAGCTAAGTGTAAGTTTGAAATACTAATTTGTGAAAGGCCAGTAGCCTTCACATATAATACATCTAGCATATACTTTTAAAATTGTTTTCAAGGCTTTTTATATTTAGTACTTGTTGACTGACTCATTGAAGTTTTGAAGCTGGAAGGGAGACATTTAAAAATCAGTAAGTGAATATTCTCATTTAGCAATAAGGAGATCTCGAGCAAATTAAGTACTTTTACCTTCTCCACAGAGTGAGTGGGTTGATCTAGGTAGTTTTCAGTTTTGAGGAGAAATAGTTCTCTTACTTAGTGTGATAGAGACTGTTTTAAAACTAGACTTTTTATGTGTACTTTTTGCAGATGTTGATTGGGGATGATTTCCCCTGCAGATGTGAGTGGGTGTAAGGCAAAAACTGGGGCAACAAGAAGCCTAATAACTACTATATAAGGTTAAGAAGATATTCTGGATTACTTAGTATTTATGTTTTCTGGTTTTTAACCCCAGAAAATTATAAAGAAATGTTAATGTTGCTTTTTTTGAAAAAACTGAATAAGAAAGATAAGCAGTCATTTTAGGTTGAAAGTATTATGTATTTCAATACTGCAAATTCAGAGGTTCAGAATATCTTAATTCTTACTGGAACATCTGTTTCATTAGACTATCTCATGATTTATCACTATTTATATTTCATTGCAAAGAAATTCAGTAGAATCGTCATTTTGTGCTTTTTTCTCAAATGTATACAAATGTTAACTCTGTTTTTATCTGTGCATTGATGTTGTTTCCTATCTTGAATTCCCTGAATTTTGGTAAATGGTTATTCTTAGGCTTGTTCTCAGATTTTTGCCCTGTACACTCACTGTGTGATTTGTTTGCAGTTACCTTGCTCTAGGAATTATGCTTTCAGAGCTTCCTTGCTCTATTCATGACCATTAACATTTAGCTTTGCAGTTTTTACACGTAACTGCATGGTTGGTGAAACCGAATGGTCCCGTGCAGACGCTTTAAGGTAGCCTTTCCCCTTCCTTCTTAAAGTAACCTAGAGCTGACTGCTCTGGATTTTCTTCACAGTCATGTTTTAGAAGTCTAAATATGAATGATCTGGGAGTATGAAGTATTAGAGAGTCATGTAAAAAAGTCTTTTTTAACTGGCCATTCAAGAAAAAAAAAAATGCTAACCTTGTCATGTTAGTATCAAAACTGCATTTAAGTCAGTGATTATCTACATTGCCTGAGAAATTTTGCTACACCAAGTCGCACATGGGTTGAGGATTTAGTAAGGCACCATGGACAAGTTTATCCCAAGTAACCTCTCAATTTGATCACAGACAGTTAATTCAGATACTAAACCTTTATTTATTAAAAGGACAGCTAAAGTAGTCTTTTCATTTGTTGCAGTGTTACTCCTAAAAATGTGTATGCCTGTAAAATGTACCTATACATTTCTATGCATTAAGATGATATTTAATCAAACTAAGTAATGTTGACTCTTGATGTTTTACTTGCCTTTTTTCCCCTCCAAATGACCTTTGCCTCATGAAATTTACCCTAGCTGTTAATGGCACCTCTTTTGTGTCTGCATTTTGTTTAAATGAATTTGAGTGTCCCTCACTGTACTCCCAGGTACAGATGTGTACGCCTGTACACCAAAGAGCATACTAAGTTTCTTCTTTCTTTGGAGTAATTCAGTTTTTAAAGTCTGTATTGGGCATGTGCATCCTTCTTTTTTTTTAAATAATATAGCATTATAAATGTAAAGGAAATGGGTTTGGATTTTTATTGCTACATTTTCATGCAGTTAGTGCTCAGTTGTTAATATATCAAGAATATAATTGTTTAGTGTTTTCTAAATATATAGTGAGTTTTATTTGCTTGCAGCATACACTGTTATTTTTCAAGCTATATTTTTGTATTTGACTTACAGTTAATTAAAGGTTAAGTATTTACTCGTTACGTACACATTTTGTCTTGCATAAGTAAAATGTTTTTCAGCAATATTTTATTTGTCCTGGCAGTTTATTCAGCCACATGGATGGTTGGACAGCTGCTTCATGTATTTATTTGTAAACATTCTTCCAATTTTCTGTGTTTTAGAACACAAGAAATTAAACACAAAGTTATCCAAAATGTACCATAAGTAAGGTTGGGTGGTATTACTGACTAGAGTGCAAAAAGTGAAAGGTACTATTGCAGCAACACATACCCAGTCTGGGTTTTTATTTTTATTCTTTTAGAGAGAAAATTGTGTTTCAAGCTTTTTGATCATGGTTGATAATAATGGCAGGAAAATGGGATGCAGTAATTCCCTCTAAAATTTTTTTTTTTAGATTCCCCTTTGACAAGGTTAGCATTTTTTCTTTAAGACAAAATTGGTCTTCTTTTAGGTAAGTATTTGGACTCTGAAACTGCTGCAGATGGCAGGATTTTCAGAACTCGGTGCATTAAAAAAAAAAAGAAAGAAAACAACCCAGTGTGGCCCATTCTGATATTCCTTTCTTTTATTTTTTTTTTAAATTAAAATTTTCAAAAACAAAGTTAGATCTCACAGTAAGTCACTATTTCTCAGGCCCTTGCAGTGGGATTGGATTTGTTCACGTGTTTCTGTTGAGGTCGCTGCTTGTTGTTATGATACAGAAAAGCCTGTGTCTATTTTAGGCATTTACTGTACATTTCTCCCGAGAAAAGAGTGAGATCGTGTCATCTCATGCTCCCCATCCGCAGGTCACTTCCTGTAGAAATATGGACTAACTTAAACCTCGTGAGTACTGATCTGAGCATCTCTTGCAGCCTCTAGTATAAGAAACACACCTGGGAGTTTGTAATAGCTGTGCAATGAATAGAAGGCGGGAGATGAATTTCTGTTTCCTGAATTTGTGTGTGCATTACTGAATATTTCATAAAAATTTAATTCTCATCCCTTTGTGATCCTTCTAGAAGGAAGAATGGGGTACTTTAAAGTCATCATGTAAGCCTGGGGTCTTCAGCTTGGCCATAAAAGCCTTGACCTCCAAAGAATTTGATCACAGAATATATGCATAGTTGTAAATGGTATCATACCGTCCTACAGCTTTTAGATAAAGTAGTAGTTAGCTCTCTTTGTTTAGCATAACATTGAAAAGTCTAATACAGTGCTTTCCATTCCCGTCTGTTGATACTCAGTTTTCCACTCTTTTGCAAAAGTTTTGATCTTAATATCACTACTTTCCAAATAAATGAAGCGTATAATATATGGAGTCTTTAGCTTTAATTACTTTTGAAAATAGTTTTAATACATTTCGCTTAGGAAGTTACACAGGTTTTCTTACAGAAACTAATTGAAATAAAAGCAGTGAAAATGCAATGTTACAGGTATCACTCGCTTAATGAAATAAACATTTTCAGCAAGTTCTCTAAATAGGATTTGTAGCAAATGGAGTTTTATATGAAGCAAAACTTTTAAATTTGCATTTAAAAATGTTTGATGCTTTCTGAGAAAACACTAACAGCACTGCTAACAGTAACCACATGGGCACTTTGCTTTAACTGACTTTGGAGCAGTACTAATTGTTCTTAACTTAGAAATGACTCCTTCATATACTCCTAAGTTCATTGTAATGTTTTCCTACATGTTCCAAATATTAATATAAATGACCATATTATCAAAATGTCACAAAACTAAAATGCAGAATCAGTAATAGGCAGTTTCTACACTTGCAAGTGCACTGTTCTCAGCATCTTTCTGTGTGCTTGTCTGAGAAGTGCTGGGAAGATACATTTATCTTTGGCTCATCTCAATTGCTGTACCACATATAATTCCAAGTTAAGAGGAAATTTTTTTTGTCTTTCTATTTGCTTCATTTCTTGAATTATAGATTATATTTTTCTAGATAAATTAGCCTAATACAGTTTTTTCAAGCTAAGAGAAAGAAAAACCATAGAATTCAAGGGCCAACCAGAGTTTTAACTGACCAATGATGAATAGCTAAAACCTGTGGGTTATTCATAGCTTGTTTATCTAACCTAATAGTTTGCTGATAGTTAAGTTAGTATAGTTAAGTTAGAACTACTTCTAATTATTGGAAGAGTTAAGCCAGAACAATTGCAGTAAGCATAGCTTACCTATAATAGGAATTATAAGGGATAACATACCATTCTCTCACTTACCTAATTTTAATGTGACCTGTTACATATTGTGCCTGAAAATGAATTTTAGTTAAGTGAGAAATACCTGTTGTTTGCTTTCTAGTATTGTTTGTTAATATGCACAGAGTCTGTAATTTAGAATTATCATTTTTGAGTCTTTAAAAATTTTTATTGCTAGTAATATTTATAAATTTTTATATATGGCTTTTCTCAATCTAAAATGAGGGATTTTGTGGCAGAGTATCATGACAGAAACAAGGGTACTAAGTTTATATTTTTTTAGAACTTTTAAAAAAAAAACTCAAACTGAATTCATATATTTACTTAGATAGCCTTTTTTTCTTCAGGTTTGATAAAAGGATCCCAGTTAGTTTTAGGGTTTTATATGCAAAGTAATTTTCTTAATTTAAAATTCTACAGAATGAGTAATAAAAACCATTGTGGGCAATGCAGAATGTTTTGTTGGTTTGTGCTGCCTATCAGCTTTTCACTTATAAAGTCTTAATCTTACTGTCTCGACATTCAGAAGTAAAACTCAGGACTGTAGGGGTGTGGCTCAGTGGCACAGCACTTCCCTAATATGTATGAGGCCCTGCGTTTGATCCCCAGCACCAAAAAGAGAGTCATTAAATTGGGAATTTTCCCAATATTGATGTCTGATTGCTTAAGATATAATTTGAGTGTCTTAACTTTTTCAGTTAGAAATATGAAGTTCAAAAAAAGTACAGTATTACTTTGTTCTCAATTAACCTTGGTCATATAAGATAAATATTTAAACTAGTCTGTCAGTTTCATGTTGTTCTTTTTCCTTCCTTCTCACCAAGAATATATTCATGAAAAGAGCCTCTTGCTGAAAAAGATGTTCCTTGATAATCAGTTCATTTTAATACTTGCTGATGCCTCCAAAATTATTGGTCCCATTCTATTTTATGTTTATGTAATACAGTAGTAAAAGCACTTAAGAGATGGAGACTATATAATCTTCACAGAATTATTAAAGGAGCTATTAAATTTTTCCCCATTTTTCTTACTTGCTAAGTAGGTTCAATTGGCAAATCCCTTTGTGTAGTATCTGGCTATTTCTAGAGTGTAAAAAATAGTATGTTAAGGGAATAAAGTGTGACTAAATTACATCAGAGTAGGGAAAAGGACCCTGAGAGGCCAAATTTGGCTTTGCAAACAATGTAGTAAAATTATTTTGCATATATAGATATATCCATAGTAACTCTGAAAGCCAGGAAAGGTTTATGATTGGTTCCACATTACATATTAATTTAGAAAACAAATTATTCCTCAGTACATCACAGCAATTTTGTTCCTGAAAGTACTTACATCAGATGTACTGATTATAGTATGCCTTCTAAAATGGTATGCTTGTCCTATTAGTATTTGATAGAAAATACAAAAACAGGTAGACCCTTAGACATTTCTCCATGTAAGTTTTCTCTGAATTTAAGGGTCAGCTAGTAACTGTAGCTTGATGAAGTATTCTGTGATTTGTATAACTGATCATAATTGTAAAAGCAAGATATGATAAACCCATTTTGTGTAGAAGAAACCACTGTTCTAAGTTCCCATCAAGATTGCATTTGTATGCTGCTGTCTTTTCACATAGGCCTGAACCAGAGCCGCAGCACTTCAGAGACCTGAGACAGCCTCCTCCCCAAAACTGAGCTTCCCAGGGAGAGCTACTTCCTCTGCAGAAGTAGCTGCCATGTAGTACCTTAGTGCTAAAATAAACCAGAGCTGCCTTCTGCCCTCCCTTCAGTCCATGTCTATAAAAATGAGAAAGAAATTACAGTTTTGTAACTTTTTGAAATTCTGAGTTTTCATATGTGTGTAAATGGATGAAAGGTAGATCTGTCCTATTACCCTAACAGAAACCTTACCTCTGTGATACCATTATTTTAACAATATTAGTAAATATGTTTATAGAAGCCAAACAAATCTTTTCTATTATACAGATCAAAATATTTGTAAACTACCAATTATGTAGAATTCATTTTGACTGTAGTGGTATATGATGTGAATAATCCCCCCTCCCCAAAAAAGTAGCTGTTACAGAATGCATGCTGATCAGTCCAGAGTGCACAGCATTTCTATATGTGGTCTCTAGAAGTGGGTTTCCAAATTCAGTTTAGGGAGTGGAGCGTACTCTACAGGATATTCTGTATAGTTTAGAAGAGCACTTCGTGTAGAATCTTTTAGTTAAGATCAGAATTTGAGAATTATTTAGATTGAAATAAGGACAGATGCTCATGGTTATGTGGGTTTGTAAAATAAAGTGAAGCATACATGAGTTCATAGTTTAAATATTTGTACACTTTTCTTTAATATAAATTCATTCAGTTTAAAGAACCTTAATGTTAGTAGTGTACTCCTCATTTTTACCAGGGTTCATTATAAACGTGTTTGTCTAGGTTTTACCGCAATCACTGCAACCAACCCCATCTGGCTTATCAAGACTCGGCTACAGCTTGATGCAAGGTATGTTACTCTTTAAACCCAATTAGCTCATCTGTCTGTGAGTTTACTGCAGTGCCATACCTCTCACTGTGTTTTTTTTCTTTGCTGCTAAATTTGGTTTTTGTGGGTTTTTTGGGTTTGTTTTGAATTCTGTTTACTTCATTTTTAAGTGTCTGCCATCAGAAGCAAGGGATAAAATAGTTGACATTATGAGAATTTGCAAGTGAGAAGTGTATTATGTTTTGGGGTGTCCTTTTAAAGGGTATATTAACCCAGCCTAAGAAATGATACTTTGTCTGCATGAATGTTCATAATTGACCTCCTAACCACTAGTGTATGTAAACTGAATACTTGAAGGTCATTGCTCAAATCCAGTGACCTTATTATAGAGAACCTGGGCTGGGAGATAGCACTCAAGTATGTATGGACTCCATCCGTTGCCCCTGACCTCAGCTTTACAGTAGTGAGAATTCATTCATTCACAGCTCTATGAACAGATACTGCTACATACTAGAAACTCCAGGAATCAGTGGGGCCAGCTTTAAATGAGCCCATTTTAATCAGGAAGCAGTCCGTGTGAACCGCAGAGATCCTGAAGTATAGAGCTATTGGCTGTTCTAGGAACTGAGAGAAGACCACAAAAACAGTGCAGCTTAGGGAATCGCCATCCCAATTACTGTTGGCCTCAGAATAAGAGAATGGGCAAAGGTAGTATGTCAGTGTATTGTTCTAATAAAAATGTTAATACTTTTGAACTACTTTAGGTTTTCAATCTGAAGTAGGTTCTGTATACATCATATTTCCACTATTTTTGTATTTTGGGTTTTGGGGAGTATTGTTACCCCATAGACTATAAATAAAACTAACCTAACAGATCACTAACAATTAATTATTCTTGCTTAAATATCTGTTTTCCACATTTTGTCGTGTTGAACTATATACTATTCAGAGACTTGAAAATAAATGTTTTCATTTGGGCTAGTTCTTTCATTCAGATTTTGAGTATTGCAGCAAAACTCAAGTTTTATTTCTTAAACAAAAAAGTAATAGTAGATGAGACTTAACCCAAGGTTAAAACTCTGATGTGCTAGTCCACGTATAGTATTGTAAAACCACCAGAATTGTGTTTTAGGAAGTTACAGGGTTGTCATACAGGGAATTCAGGAAAGGTGTGGCTTAAAACTTTTTTTTTTCTACATATAATTGTAACATAAGGTAGAATCATTCTTTAGGCTTGCATGGATGGGGCAGGCTCATAGTGAAAGGTTGACTTATCCTAATTCCTAACACTGAGCAGGAGAGTGGGGCTAGCGTGTCTGCAGTCACTTGTCCAGACTTGTGTCACTGGTAACTCTGAGAACAGGTCTTTCATGGCAGAACCTAGTTAAAACGGTTATATAAATCATCCCAGTAAATGAGTATTCAGTATCTAAAGATGATCATTAGTTCATAAAACTTGGAGGGATCTCTAGTCTTCAGGTGGTGCTTTAACTGTGGTTTTATTTGGTTGTCACAAGCAGATTAGATATAGTTTATAAATATGTAAATTTTCTGTTGCTTTCATAGTAAGTATTTAAACCACTTTCTAATAGGTAAAGTTTTATTGAAGGAGTCATAACAGAAGGTAATAACTTCTTATAAACTCAAGATTATATACATGTGAAAAGAGTGAATTTCGTACCCTGTAAGAGTAGCTGCTGCATCTTTAAGTAGCACTAAGGAAATCGTATTGTGAATGATAACTAAATACTTAACCTATACACGGTCTCATTCACTTGTCACTGGAATACTGATAGGGCATTTTCTGTAAGTGATTATTGGGAGTTTGGTTTATATTTTACCCCATTACTTTTTGAGGAGGACCTGGTGAAATTGGAAGAAGTCCTCAGCTACACAGAAATTCAATTGATTAAAGTCCTTCTTTATCATTATGTAGTATCATGAATGTCTCCATCACTGCTTTCTTGTTATTAAATGCAAAAAAAATTGAACTTAATTAGAAATGGAATTAATACAGTGTAAGGTGGTTTTTTTGTTTGTTTGTTTTTGTTTTTTGTACTTGTTTTGATTGTATCTTGAACTGCAGTCAGAACAGAGTATCTAAAGGAATTTATTGGTTATCCCTCCTACCTGAACTACAGTCAAGAAGATGTGAAACCAGACTGGGCACAGTGGCTTACACCTGTAATCCTAGCTACTTGGGAGGCAGAGATCAGGAGGGTCATAGTTCGTGGCCAGCCTGGGCTGAAAGTTCTCAAGATCCCATCAAGCAATAAAAGCTGGGTGCGGTGGCGTGTGCCTGTCACACCAGTTACATGGGGAAGCACAAATAGGATGATCACAGTGCAGGCTGGCCTGGGCATAAAACAAGACCCTATCTCAAAAGTAACCAACACAAAAATGTCAGCCAGAGTGTTTAAGATGGTGGTAGATCACCCAACAAGTGCAAGGCCCTGAGTTCAAGCCCCCGTAAATACCCCCTGACCCCAGAAAAAAGGATGTAAAACAGAAGAATCAGTTAGTGTGCTTTGTATTCAATAAAATAAACTTCACATAATACCCATCTAATATGACCAATTTGTGACAAGATAGAATGTTGTTTTAAAATCCTAACTTCATGAGTTGAAGAAGACCACATTTTTTTTTCACTATATTTCGCTTACTTTATTAAAACGTTTGATGTCAGTACTGTTGTCCTCTTTTTGCCTTTCAGGAACCGTGGGGAAAAGCGAATGGGTGCTTTTGAATGTGTTCGTAAAGTGTATCAGACAGATGGACTCAAGGGGTTTTACAGGGGCATGTCTGCCTCCTATGCCGGCATATCGGAGACTGTGATCCATTTTGTTATTTATGAAAGCATAAAGCAAAAGCTACTGGAATGTAAGACTGCCACTGTGATGGAGAGTGAGGATGAGTCTGTGAAGGAAGCATCCGATTTTGTGAGGATGATGCTCGCTGCTGCCACCTCAAAGACTTGTGCCACCACTATAGCATATCCACATGGTAAGAATACTACAGCACTCCCATGTATACGAGTAGATTCTGCTTCTCGGGACATGGGCACTTTCACTGGATTCAAAGTAACAAAACACCATTCTTGGGAGCTTAAGTCTAGCGGTGCTTGGGACATAACCAGAATTGCCCTCATTTTCAAATGGGAAACTGCGAAGAGATGTAAAAGTCCTGTAAGTTGCCTGAGGTCACATCAATGGTGGAGCCTGAATTAAGTCTGCAGTCCTAAGACCAAGCTATTTCACGTTATTTTATGTTGGTGAATAAGTATGCATTAATAATTTGTTTGTTTTTAAATTTTAAAACATTAACCTATTTCACCATTAGCTAAAAGAAATCACTTTAAGAATTTGTGACATGCTGAGTTTTTTTAAGTAGCTTTTTTGTTTTATTTTTGGTATGTTTAAAGTTTGTCAGCGTAAGTTGGTGGGGAAGAGGTACAGTTGGTAAAATTTAAGCAGGATAGGAGATTTCAAATAAATACTGCATTTTCCATAGGCTACTTTAGACTCTTCCACAGGCCTACTGGGGATATTTTGTTGGGAAAAGATTTTTTTTTATTGAGAAATAATGGGTGGAGAAAGAGCAGTTCGATTCTTAAGTAGAAACCCTGAGTTCCCCAGCCTGTTTTCACTGTATCCTTCTGTACCCATCTGTGCTACTCCATCCACCCACTTTTCTTCTTCACATTTTTCTCCTTACCACATCTATTCTCCTTTGTTATACACTATCCAGCTGATGTAGTGGACATGAGTTTGGCTATCTTAGAAGTTTGGTGTCTTTTTAATCTGACGGTTTTCAACCAGCTACACGTTAAAAATCACTGTCCTGGGCTTACATGGACTGACAACGCACTCAGTGTGATTAGGAGGGTGGAAGGATAGCATAGTGTCTAAATAAAAAGATATTCTTTCTTTCCTAAACAGAAGTTGTAAGAACAAGACTACGTGAAGAAGGAACAAAATACAGATCTTTTTTTCAGACACTGTCCTTGATTGTTCAAGAAGAAGGTTATGGGTCTCTTTACCGTGGTCTGACAACACATCTGGTGAGACAGATTCCAAACACAGCCATTATGATGGCCACCTATGAATTGGTGGTCTACCTACTCAATGGATAGTAGCATGGCTGCCATACTACACAGAAGGAAGACCAAAAGAGTACAGTGGACCATGGAATCGCAAAGCCAGCATGGCAGACAGAGGAAAATTGGTTGGGAACGTGTAACTATGGCTAAGTGTAAGTTTGGTTGTAGGAATCAAGGTAACCACATCGCGTTGCTTAGTGTTCCACAATATGGAGCCCTCAGCCACCTCTAAGGAAACGCCTTCAGAAGCGCTCCTTTCCAAAACACTCACTTTCTCCACCACGTTCACCATGTGCGGTCGTGCTTTGTTGACTTACGGCATTCGGAATACAGTGTTACTCATTCTGAGGGTGTTTTCCAAACAAAATCATCTGGTATTATACATGGTATGTAACTATCCAAAGATACCAACTTCTGACTTTTAATTCCTGTCATACTGAAAAGTAACAACAGGGAAGGCCTCAGTGTCTCCGTTTCCCTGAGAGGCCCGAGCACAGTGTTTTAAACTTAGTTGTTCGGCATCGGTATGAAATGCTGTCTGAATGGCTCATGTAGTTTTACCTTTGAAATGTTTTGGTTCCACAACTAACAGGTGCTTGATCTTTAGCATAATGTGGGTGTTCAGTCTCGTTGACGTAACAGGCGCACGTGGCAGTGGTTTGGGAGTATAAAATAAAGTTCTGATTCTTGGCCATTTCAGTGACATTTCAGTCTTCTCTAATTTTATGGTACATGAATGAATGCAATTGTTTATCAGTAATTTACTAGCTATGAACTTGAATTATCACCTATCATACCTTGGTATCATTTACTGAAAGTAGAAAATTTTACTGCTTTTGAATCTTTCTACTTGCTTTCACATTAAAAATTTGAAACTTTGAATTATTTCCAGCTCTGTATAGATACTTCTTTTATAGAGAAAATGGTAATTTTCAATTTTGCCTTTACAATTTTTTAAAGGTGATATTAATATTTGAGGTAGTATAAATATAAGAGGGGCCTCTGCATCTGATTGACAGCAGTGGTCTTACTTGGACATGAATGAGCCGCATCTGATAAGAAGCTGGTTCTCAGTTTCCTGATTGGTCTGTCATAGATGGATTCAAGTTAATTTGGGTTAAATGTGCTAACAAGATACAGTTTTTAAATTTTGCTATTGAGTCAACTGCACCTTTTAATACTTTAAGTCTATTATATATATGGCCCTTACAAAGATAGTTGCTATAATACTGTTGAGCCTTTTCCTATGGATGTTGCTATACTGGTGTATGAAACTTCTTCAGTTAAACTCCAGTGTGGTACACATTTCAGTGTACCTTAACTTTACATTTTGTGCAATGGCTTTATCTTAAAACTGACTCTTTGTGAATGCACTTTGTGGCCTTTTAGGGGGTGAGAGTTAAGAGAATTCCTGTTAAGACTTTTAAAAAAAAAAAAACTGTCATATATTAACTAGAAATAGTGTTCATAGCGTTTTTCTAGGTTTAGGTGTGTTGTTTTGGAGATTTTACACTGTTTTAAGCATTCTGTATTCCCTGTATTGCCATAACATTTTGGAAAAACAGCATGTCATTGAAAGCTTTCTCTGCTGTCACCAGTGAAACGTAGTGCCCTTTTAAATTTCCCCACTTTGACCTCCTTGTAATCAACAATAACTGGATGTTTTTGAGGTGCTCAATTGGAATTAAAATATTCCAATGTATTTGGAGACCAAAGGCAAATTCAGTTTTGTTACCTTTGAAATTAACATCTTTTCACAGTAAATTTCCATTGTGACATTTATTGTAAGGGACACACCAAAAAAAATTTCCCCCAAACCAGGGATTTTCAACATACATCTGTAGAGAGGCCTCAGTCTACAGTGTTTGCCTTTTCGGGTGCCGTTTACACTGCCTGATAGAGTGCCATTTGCTTTGTGGAGATCCAGGAACATTAGAAGTGTTTGAATGACGTAGGACACACTCTCCCTAGTCTTAGAGATGAGGAATGATATGAAAGCCAGCAGCAAGGAACAGCTTACTTAGTTGTAGCAAATTCATAACAAGTGTCCTTCAGGGATGAACATGTTCTATTTGTAGTTCTGTTTGTATTTCACAGGTAAAACTTATGCTGACCTTCAGTGCATTATACTTAGCTTTTAAAGTGAGTGTGTGTGAGTATGTGCTAGAAGAAAAAGTTCTAGAGTCTCAGACTTGGCTTGTACAGCAGCTGTGAAAGAGCAGTGAGTCTGTTTGAATTATTTCCCTGAGCACAGCCTACCATAGTTTACTTTATGACAGAAAATTCAGAAAAGGAAACCATGTACAAAAGTTACATAAAAAGTTTATCTCTAAAATATTTCTTTACCAATTTTGTGAAATTATTCTAATGTTTAAAGAGACAAATGGATACTCAAAGCATTGAACTTTTTTAAAAAACTGTTGTTTTAAATCTGATAGCCCTAGAATTTTTCTGGTAGAGAGTTAGTCAACACTCCAGATTGGTATGATTTTTGTTACAGAACTGTCTCAGAAAATTGAGTTGAACTTAACCAGGTTCAAGCAGTAGCTACCAGAAGTATACCCCCTAGAATGGTAGATTGAACCTGCTGCCTGTGACTCAGACCATTTCCTAAACTTCAAAGTCCAAGTTTGAGGCTTGCCAACCCTGTGATGGTGAGATTAATACAGTGCTTTCAATTCCAGGGGGAGAAACTACCACTAAACCTGTCTTGATACTCATCATGTAACTTTATAGAACCAGCCTTAGTAGATGGGACCTGAATCAGTAACTTTGAAACCATGATAGAATGTCATTAGGTTATTTAATCCAGCCTTTTGTCTCCTTAAACCTAACGTCCACTGAGAACTGCATTATGTTAGAACCATCAGGGTTTGGGGTCTTCAAATGAATGTTTACTCTTTTACTAAAGTCTATAACACTTCAGCATTTTTAGATTTGCTTTAAATCACTGAAAAAAAATACCGATTTGAATTTGAAGGGTTTAATTGCTAGAAATCAGCCTGTCCCTTCCCCTTGTTTACATAATCTTCTTCCCAAACTGTTAGTATTACAGGGACCCCTTTGAGGCTGATGAAGGTAGTCAGCCCTTTTCTCCTAATACTGATCCTGACTTTAACATTCCTAAAGATATGGGTATTTCTGAATGATTTCAGTGGGAAGGAACTTTAATATATAAACGGTGTGCTTTCTGCTCATTCTCTTCTCTGTCATGCTGTTACATTTCCATTAATCTGTACATTGATTTTTGTGCTGCCCCCTTTGAAACTAAAAATCCTGCTTCCATCAGTTTTCATGGTGATAAACCCTTTGAATGTGTGCCCCAGTGTATGTGAGCGATTACATTAGGACCTGTTGGTCATAGCTAAATAGTAAACCTGAAAAGAGCTGATAGCTTTCACTCATTCATGTGAGTTTCACTATTATGTTTATGTACATGGCTGTAAATTATGTGCATTTTTCAGTATTTATGTTAACTAGCTTTTACTTGAATTGTTAAAATTCAGAAAATTAAAGTATGCTTATGAAAATGTGATTTTTTTTTTTCCTACAACATATCTTACTATTTTGGCATGGTGAGGAGAGAATCACATTATCCTAGGGTTACGCTGTTTGGAGAACCAAAAAGCATAGTCATTTTCAAGGTGCTAGGCTCATTTATTGATCCACTCTGCAGACCTTTTTTAAAGCACTATCTGCATGACCTACTGATATCTCTAGGGATAAAAAGGCCATATAATGTAACTCCCTCCTCGTTTGGTAAGAAATACCTGTTCTCACACATTTTGGGCAGGTTTATTGATCTTTAAGTCCTGTGCTTTTCATGTATCAAAACCCAGTTTACGAGAGCATTTGAGAAACTGAAGTCTTGATTAGTTTATTAGATTGATAGGCTCCTAGGTATAATAGTGAATTTCAGTTTTTAGGAACGTTAATGTTGAAAGCATAGAGCTGGGAATTGTTAGAATAAACACATGAATGAACCACATGTGTTTGGTAGATATACAAGGTGAGTACCCTTAATGCCTACACACTTGACTTTTTATCATTTTTCAAGTTTCCCTGAATTGTAGCTAACAGTAGTCTTATGGGCAAGGAAACTTAGGGCAATTTTGTCATATTCCTTATCTCCTAGGAAGTTGAAATTGCTTGTGCTTCTAGTGGTGTAATTTAGCTCGTGTGTGTGTGTGTGTGTGTGTGTGTGTGTGTGTGTGTGTGTGTATAACTAAATGTCAGGGGCTCTGTGATAGAGTAAGGGATTTGTGAGTATATGATTTTTCACCATTCAAATATGACATCTACACAACTCACAAAATTCAGGCAAACTAGCAAAGCATAGTTAAATGACTTCCTTTTCCTTTCTGTACTGCACAGACTAGCTGGGTGTTTAAATATATAATCAATTCAAAATTTATTCTCAGAGGGCTGTGTTTATACAGTGGTTTCTCAACAGTCAATAGATAGGATATACAGGGGATATTAATCTGTTGGGGCTTTTCCACTTGGGCTCTCTCTGAGGCCCGTGTTTATTCGCTAAGTGACTCATTGGTACTGGAGATGACATTGCCCCCACATTTAGAAAACAAAGAGGTGAAGGAATGATCAACGAGAAAAGGCTGAGTATGTAAATGGATCAGTATGAAGTGTCTGAAAACCTAACCTGTATAGACCTCAGATTTCATCCTGAGGTCACTGGAGAACCACTGGATTTTTTTCCCCCAGAGAAAGCCAGACTTAAAAGTAGGCTTTGTTTTATTCAGTGTGTTTGAGGTTAAGTTTTTTAGAAAGATCTGGAGAGGTTGCCTGGGGCATTTTAACTGTGCTTTGAAACAAATTCTGGAGGATGATGAGAGGGACATTCCTTGAAGCAAAGATTAAAGTGTTTCAGTAGCCCAAGTCAGGAGAAATAACCCATTTTATTTTGAATTGACTCAAATAGTAACTCGATTCTGAAACTAGGAGACCCAGGATTCTAAAGGTAGTCTAAACTTGGGAGCTCATCCTATCTAGCCTAACAGAATTTAGTATGAGAGCTGTTTTTTGTTCCTAGTCTGCTTTTCCACAGCACCTCAATTCTTCATCAAGGATGATGAGCTCATTTTCATTGACAATACTTCCGAGCCACCTTTGAGACTCCACTGCTATATATATGAATCTAGGTAGTTATTCAAAGTGCATAATATGACAATTCACCAGCTGTATGCGTAATTCACTTTCAGTATGCTTTTTTTTTAATGCGTAATAAAAATGAAGGAAAACATAAATACGGATGCAAACTGTAGAATGAAACCCATAATGATTTAAGATACTGATGTCATCAAAGTACAGTTTCATGGGGCTGGTGGAGTGGCTCAAGTGGTAGAGCACCTGCCTAACAAACGTGAGACCCAGAGTTCAAACCCAGTAACATCAAAAGAAAGTACAGTTCATAAAATAAGCATGCTTAACATGTTTTAAGAAACAGGCTTTTTTGCGATGAGTACCTGTATCATGAGTAGTCAGGCTTTGTGAAGACCTTGCCCCGTCCATGACAACTAGGTCTTAACAAGTAGAAGGGTCCCCCACAGACTCGGGGCCTGTCTTTTACTGTAAGTCCTTGGGAAGCTAAGCAGTTAGAGAACTGGATGTGGAGGGTAAGAGCAAGCACGGGCTTAGACAGCCGGAGCAGTCCTGTCAGGTCTAGGTCCGAGGAGGGGAGGTGGCATTCAGAGGTGCCTGGGGGGCACGTGGATGCTGTTGAATGCCCATAGAAGAAGATTCAAATCACAGAGCGGTGGTGGCTCATGCCTGTAATCCTTGTGACTCAGGAGGCAGATATCAGGAGGATCGAGGTTTGAAGCCAACCTGGGCAAAATGGTTTGTGAGACCTCATCTCAATAAAACCCATTACACACACAAAATCAAATGAAGTCTTGGAGTAAAACCTTCCCAGTTGGGTCTGCAGAACACTCCCACAGTGCCATCTAGTCATGCTTTCAACACACAAGACCAGCCACCATGAGTGCTTACAAAAATGTGGAAAGAACAGACTTAAGTCTTCCAGGATGAAGGATACCAGCTACAACTGTCAGATAAAATGCAGAGTAGTTGTAAATATGAGGTGATTCTGCAGCAAGAAAGTTTTAGGAATAAACAGACAATTTAAGTGAAGGGGAGGGTGCAGTGGTGCATGCCTGTGATCTCAGCTACTCAAGAAGCACAGATGGGAGGATCATGGTCTGAGGCAGGCCCCAGTGAAAACACAAGACCCTATCTCAAAAATATCTTAAGCAAAAGGACTGGTTGTAGTTCAAGTGGTAGAGCACACCTGCCTAGCAAACACAAGGGTCTGAGTTCAAGCCCCAGTACTACCAGAAGAGAAAAAAAGAAACTCTAAGTTAAAAGTGAGCCACACTTCATGGGAGTGATTTATACATAAATGATTAATCCAGAAGATAGCAAGAGCAAGGGCT